CCACTCGCACGCTGCCACCGCCGGGCTGGAGGTGCCGGTCACGGGCTGGTGGCGGCCGTGAGGAGTCGTGGGGCCGGGTCGGGCCGATGGCCCCTCTCGGGCAGTCACAGCCCGCCTCCGAGAAGGCAGAGCAAGCTCGGATCCCGCTCTGGCGGCAACAGAGTTTGCCCGGCCCCGCCTGGCTCCGCGGCGGCGGGCGGGACCCGCGTTGCCCCCTGCACTTCGGGGCAGGCGGGGTTAGGGTGGTCACAGCAAGGGAGAAAGCGACCAGACAAGCCATCCTCGACCCCGATCGACCAGAGGGGCATTTGTCGAGCACCGCCAGACTTCTGGCTCTCTACACAGGGGCGCGGAGCATCAGCTCAGCTCTGCCCTTTCCAGCCCCGTGGATCTGCCCCGCACTAGCGGAGTCGAGCTCGAGAGAAGCGGCCTCAAATGACTTTTTTAATTAAAAATCCCTAAACCAAAATACACACGCACACACACACACACACACACCAAAACAAACAAACAAAAAAAAAACCCATCAAAAAAAATAAAAGATTCCCTTGCCGCTAAAAATTTGCAAGAGAGAGTTTATTTTATTTCGTCTCTTTTCTTTGAGAAGTAGATGCGGGTGCCCGGAGAAATTAACTCCAAAAGGGGTTCGCATTTAGAAAACTTCGTACTTTAGCAATCAATTAGTCCGGCATTGTATGGAGTTCCGAAGGTGTAAATCCTTCCAAGTTTCTGGATTATTGACTGTTACGCTCTATCGGGTGCCTAATATCCAGACCTACACATGTGTAATACGCGTACCAAAGCAGGCATTTAGCAAGGTAAATTATATGCCCCGAAAAAGCGTATTAGCGCCAGTGCTCCGTGAGTCGGTCCTTGTCTTAAGCCGCGGTGTGAGACCCCCCGCCCCCCCCCCAACTCACACACCCCCCGCAACGCCGTCCGCGACGGGCTGCGGACCTGCCCCGCTCCCCGTCGGCCTCCGCCACCGCCCCCGCTCCGCAACGGAGCATTATTGAAACAAACAAGAAAAAAATAATAATTAAAAAAAAAATGTTCCCGCAGCGCGGCTTATGGAGAAAAAACCCAAAGCAACAACAAACCCTTCCCCGGGCTCAGATGTCAACTATTTTCACAAGGAAGTTGTTTCCCTCCAAAAATGCTAATGAGTCTCGTAACATAAAAAAAAAAAAGGTTATTTTATTTTATAGGTACAAACAACTGTACAGGTATGTAAAGATCAGTATCTCGCTGGTTTGGGAAGGCACACGCGGATGAGAGCGCACGTACCAAAAAACAAAGCGAGGAGAGGGCAGCGGGAAGCACAGAAAATAACCCAAAGGAGATACATATCCATATCTGGGCTTTATTTTGACCTTTGCGGGGCGAGGCACGCCGATCCGACGGCCGGGGACTCGCGCACGCTGCCGGGGTTCAAAGTGCGGGAAGGCACCGTCCGGAAACAAAAGAAGGGAGCCTAGGTGGGACACGGCCCCAGGGCGCCATCGGTGGGGAGAGGGCGCCCGGGCCGCCCGGGGACCCCCAGGCCCCCGTGGGGAAGCTGGAAGGGGCGCGCTCCCGGCGCCTCTCCGCGGCCGCGGCTCCGATGGGGGGGTGGTGGGGGCTGCGCAGGCCGGCGGGACTGTGGATTGGGATGTGGATTGGGATGTGGATTAGGAGGCAGACGGCGCTGCCCTCTCACACGCCCAGCGCGGGGGTCTGCGCAGCAGGCGGCCCGGATAGGCCTTCCCGAGAGCCGAGGGGTGGGCGAGGGGGTGCGAGCCCGTTGTTTAACCACTCTCCCCTCCCGCTTCTCCAAATAGATATTTTGTAAATTCCCCATTTCGTTGTGCCTTTTTCTCCCTCTCTCTGCGGCCTCCATTGTTCCAGGTTCACACTGCCACCGCCGATAAGGGGAAGGAAAGCCCCCGGGAAAAAAAAAAAAGACAACAAAAAACCAAAACAAAACACCCAAAACTCCAAAACAACAAAAAAACACTTAACGAAACTCCGCTCCCTCCTAAAACAAAGCAAAAAAAACCCACAAAAAAACCAAACCAAACCAAAAAAACCACCACGACCCAAGATTTTGATTTACGACCTAATCAAAACATTACATCTTTGGTCAAGTGGCGCAGAAAAATGATGACCCTCAAGGCTTCAGCTAGGGGGAGAAAGAGAAATTCAGATTACTCTCGGAGTGATTTATGTCTTCTCTGAGCGGTCACGTTGATTTTTCATCGTTTGAGCCATTACACAGTAGAGTGAAAAACTCTGATCCAGTATTTTTCTTGTCCAGCATCGATATATATTATTCTTCTAAACATATATGCGTATACTATATATTATATATCTAATATTACTCCACGCACACACATATTCTAAATATATATATACCGACATTTTATATATATTTATAAGAGAGGACTATAAATAACCAATGACACCGAGAAGAAACGAGAGCCGGAAAGAGCGTGTAGAATACCGTGCCGATACCCGCAGCGATCCACTCGCTGATTTCCAAGCCCGTCCCGCCGAGAGGGTTTGGGCAGAAAAGCTCCCTCGTTTCTCCTGCTTCTCTGACCCCCGAGGGGGGCTTCCAGGCTGCCAGCACTTCACCGCCGTCACCCTCAGACCTTATGCCCGCAGCCCAGCGAGGAGGAGAAGAAGAAGGAAGACGAAGGGGACATTTTTGGAAGCCCCTGGCACTCACCCGGGTGAAGTGTTGACACGGTGCGGGAAAACCGAGGGGAGCGGCGTTGGGTCGGGGCGGCGGCAAGGCCGAACAAGCCAGAAGGGGGGCCTCTCGCCTTCCCCCCACCCCCAAGCGCGGAGGTTCTTTCACTCCTCCGCCCCCCTGGCAAGAACATACAGAGGAAAAGAAAACAGAAGAAGGTGTAAAATACTGAAATAATTTTTAAAACCCCAACGACACACACAAAAAGACAAAAGACAAAAACAAATCTAAAAAAATTGATGAAGAATTAAAAAAGGGAGTAAGGAAAATAAAAATGAAAGGAGTTAAGTGAAAATAAAAAATGAGGGGGGGGAAAAGGGGAGTCTAGGGTCTGCCCACGCTGCAAATGGTCCCACGGGGGAGTACCTTGATTTCGTGTGGGGGAAGGATTTTCCTCGTGGGAAAGCACAGGGCGCTGACCTCTTCCCTCTCCCCCTTCTGCTCCTTTCCCCCTCTAACCACTGAGGGGGGAAGGAACCCCCTCCACCGTATCCGCCCACCCCCAGGCTACCTCAGCGGCTCCTCCCGACCTCACAAAGGCGCGCAACGAGCGCGCAAAGGCCGCTCAAGGAGGAAGATCTCCTTCACCACGGTGAGTTTCTTTCCTACCGTCCCCTGCGCCCCTCGCCAGTTCACGCGCCTGCGGAATTCCATGGTGTATCGATATTCCCGCCGGGTCCTGTGGTTGCCCACCCTCCCGGCAGCCCCTCCTCGCCCGCCCGGGGTGTGAGCCGATGGGAGGGCCGAGCAGCAATTCATCTTGATTTGTTTCAATTGTCCAGCAATGGCAAAGTTATAATCCTGTATAATTTCACGAACAAGCAGGTTGAGAATGAATGGGTCAATATTATTTAAAACAAAACACACGAGAGCACGACCTTTCCCTTCAACGACGTGTTGCAGCACGAAGTCGCAGGAAACTCGGGGCTAACCTCTCACCCCCCGCGCTCCGCGGGGTTGCGGTTATTTGGGCTGCTCTTTGTTTCTCTTCATGTCTGAAAGGGGGATTTGGAAATAGAAATGTAATATTACATGAAGGATCTCCCCGCTGAAGGGAGAAGGTGAGCGCAGGGGGCGGAAAAGGGGATGGATTATTTTGAACAGGAGCAGTTTGTTTGCAAACTAGCTGCCTTTTTTTTTTTTTTTTTTCCCTCACTCCCTGTTCTTTAATGTAATAAAAGTTTCCTTCACAGCAGGATAAATTTATGCTCCAGATACAGAGACTTTGTGGTTGGTAATTCTCGAGGCCAACGATGACAAATAATCCATTTTCTCAGGGCTGCGCAGGGGAATAAAAGGATCCATGGGGTCCAAGTCCTACGTTTCTCTAGTATGCAACGTTGGCAAGAGGAATTTTTTTTTTTTTACGTGGAAAAAAAAATGCCAACATTTAGTTACATTTCAAAAGTACTACCCCGATATTCCAGAGAAGGAGGTCCAGTAACAACGATCAGTCAATCACTGCAGACTAGTTACCACTGCACATCTTGACTCAGTAAATAAAAAAATCCAGACAAAAGCGTATGCTGTATATTTTACTCCCATGAAATAAAACACATTTTTTTTCATGTTTGCTGAAAAGTAAAACAATAATATTGTACGAAATGTTATACACAGGGCATGTTTTACATTGCAATATCAGAAACATCATTGCATCCACCAGAGGTACTATTCTAAAACTGATATTCACACAATTTTTTTTAATAATTATATGTTAGAAACATACAGTGTCGCATTTAGTATATACATTCCCTTGCTCGCAAGCGAAAAAATCCTAATCGCTTCTGTGTAACATGCTTTATTTTAAAGCCTAACCTTTTAAAAACACTGTTGTGATATTACTAACAACTGCTTTTATAAAATTAATTTGACATTTCGATATATATACATCCTTTCAGTCATTTTTATGTTAACAATGCTAAACTTAAAAAATAACAAGCTTATAGTAACATTAAAATGTCATATCATATCCAGTCAAACATTTGTCCATATATATATATATGTCCTTGTAACTGTTGAAATACTCTTAGTGAAAGAAAGATCTCAGAATCTGTAGAAGGTCCTTTGAAAACAAAGGAACTATCTTATTTCAGTGGTTTCCTCTTTTTTTCCTCTCTCTCTTTCTCTGTCTCTTCCTCACTCTCTGACTCTGTCTGATTTTTCTTCCTTTCTCTTTCTCTCTAGTGCCCATTACTTTCTAGTGAAATTCTCAGTCTCTGCGGGAAATGGGAAGGGATTCCCATGCAGTGTTTCCTACTTGGATGTTTCACACGGGTCTGTCCACCGCGTACTGGCAAGCACTCAGGTTGGAAGCAGGGTTCTGCACACTGGCATAGCCAAAACTGGAGTGCTGCTTGGCTTTAAGTCTCAGACTCGCCAAGCTCGAGTTACATGTGTCCCTATAAACATATGGAGGCGTTGGAGGAGCGTAAGGACAGGCTGGCGTTGGCACTGCAGAATTCAGGGAGGGATTGCTCAAGTTGTTCAAGTTATTCAGGCTGTTGAGGCTGGAGCCGGGGACCCCGGTGACTGCAGAGGGTACCATGCTTGAAGACATACTCATGGAGGAGATGGAGTTTGGAGGGGAGAACATGCTCTGAGAAGACAGAGGGTTGACATTCATGGAGTTGAAGAAAGGAAAGCTTTTGGTGGAGAGGGAAGCAGAGGTCAGGCCCTTGGCCGCCCAGTTGTTGTACGAGTAGCCAGGGTACATGTCATCATAGGGCTGCATGAGGCCGTTAAACTGTGGACCAAAGCCGTTTTTGCATAGCTCGGCTTGCTGGTTCCTTTCTCTCTTTCTCCATTTGGCTCTGCGGTTCTTGAACCAAACCTTTGGAAACGGGGAGCGGGGGAGAGGAAGGGAGGGAGATGCGAGAGGTGAGTTAGTCAGGAACCACCACAACCACCTTTGCAGGTTTTCGGGGTAACAGCAGAGCATGTTCGTATCTAAGTTATATATAAAAATGTGTACGAACATATATATATATATATACACATATATAGGTTCACTTTCTCTGCTGTGGAGCCCCGTGCTGGACCAGGGCAGCGATGTGCTGCCGGGACCACCGAGCACCCCCGGGGCCACCCGGGTTTAGCAAGGTAGATTCGTGGCCGCGTCATTTCACCCTCGTCCACCCCCACCCTTCCATATCCCACCCCCCACCTTCAGTCCTCCCCCCGCATAATTTGTGATGCTCTAATTTGGGTCACAGAGGCCAACACTTCTTTCTTATTCCCTCTCTTCTCTCTTGGCTTTTTTCGTCCTAGAGCAATAGGTGCAAAAGCGAGGGGAAATCGCCTGGAAACCCGCGGAATATTTAAGGCAGTGGTACGGGAAAGGAGAGGGAAGCCAGCAACTAATAAATCCTTGCTTCAGTTTGCTAAAGCTACAAGTTCCTCCTGCGCGAAAGCTTCCAGTGCCGAAAACTATTTTCTAAACAAACTTGTTCGACTGCTCTTGGGGAGGGGAGGGGGGGGCGCGAAGGGTGGTGGAAGAAAAGAAAAAGGGATAAAAAAAAATGGAAAAAGAAAAAAAATCGCCCTTTAACAACGTGCTAAATGAGATCTAAGGGACCCTCCCCGCAGACAATGGGGAAAACGTCCCCTTTCCCAATCCACATCTGGGTGTCTGACCCGTCGGGCAGCCGCCAGCAGCAGCCTTACCGTGTGTATTGAAACCACCCTGGCCCCGGGGTGTTTGTGGTAACCCCCACCCTGGTCGAGCAGGGCGGGGGCCGGCCGTACACCACACCACGGGGACGGGCCCTGTCTGGAGGCATCGCGCGGACCGAAACAAAAACTCCCGCAAAAGCCGCATCGCGACCGACAGTGCTCAGTGCTCAGGCAGGACACCGACCCCGGTCGCGCCCCGCTCCCGCCGCGGAGCTGCCCCGTCGCCAACACCGCCGGCCCGGGGCGGAGAGCCGGCCCCGCTCGCTGCTGACCCCAGTTCTCACTGTCTCTCTTTCCTCAATCGACCTCAGGGAGAGGATTTATGTGGGATTTCCGAAAATCTGAAGGTTGGGCCCATTTACAGGCTTCTTTTTGTATGTGCGTGTTGGGGTTTATTGTTTTTCTTTTTTCCCCCCAGCGCGGCGTTTGCAGGCGAGCAGGATCCGGCCGCGGCATCTCTGCAGCGCCGCGATGGTCCCATAAATCTCAGAGGGGGAGAAAGGGCGGAGAGAGACGCTCGTCGAATTGTGAAACCAAAAGAAATAGAAAATGCAAGGAAGGGCACGTTTGGGAGTGCCTCGGAGTGAAGCAAAAGCTCTTGTGTATTTTACATCTTTTTCTCATTAGAGACAGCGCAGGTTGCAGCCTGTTCCAAGTTGCTTTCTTAGCTAATGTTTTCATTAGCGTTTCGATCAAAAGGAGCGGGACGCATTGCACGGTGAAGGCGACACGTGCAGCAAACCATATTTCGGAGACACAGAGAGGGATCCCAATCTGTCTCGCTCTGACAGAAATGCCTTGCTCTGCCCTGATTTTGTGCAAAGGCTCAGAAGTTTACATACAAGCCAAAATCGAAAGCAGCTGTAAACATTTCAGCCCTCTTTCCCTTCCTCCACCCTCCCTGACCCCCGCTGCTCCGAGTTGGGGTGCCGTGTCGGGACTTACCCTAACCCTGGCCTCGGTGAGGTTGGTCCAGACGGCGATCTCCTCCCGGGTGGACATGTCCGGGTAGCGATTCCGCTGGAAAGTGGCCTCCAGCTCCTGCAACTGCTGGCTGGTGAAGTGAGTCCGTTGCCGCCGCTGCCTCTTCTTTTTGGAGGGGTCCTCGGGCCCCGCATCCTCATTCTTGCTCTGTTGGCTCTTATCTTTCTCTGTAAGGGGGGGCGGGGGACAAAAAAAAAAAACAAAAAAAAAACAAGACGGAAAACGAGGGCACCTCAGCCTCCTCAGCCTCCTCGCCAGCGGCTGGGGAAGGGCTTGTCCCCAGCGCTGCTGGATCCCGCAGACTGCCCCGAACGCGCCTCGGCGCTGTAATGATTAACCCGAGTCGGTCTCCCGCCACCGCGGCCCTTCCGCGCCCGCGGGCACTCACGAGCGGCTCCTCCCGGTGGAACAACCACCGTCGGGACAGCGGGACGGAGCCTCCTCTCCGTATGCAAGCTTTCCGCCTATCTGTATCCATATTATACTCCCATCTGTATACATGTAATCCTTATTATTCGCCTGCCTGTATCCGTATTATTTGCCCGCCTATAACAATACTCTTTGTCCGTATGTACCCGTATTCTTTGTCCATCTGTATCCATATTACTTGCCCATCAACTCCCACATTATTTGCCAGTCTGTATCCATATAGTTCTCCCACCGGTATACATGCTATTCGTCTACCCTTACACGTGTCATTATCTTTCCTATACGCCGGCACACAGACACCACACGCGAAAAACCACAAAACGTATCTCGGCTCGGGTGCGGGGCGCTCCCGGGCAGAGGGGCGGCGGCGCATCGCGGTCCGCGGGGCTGCCGGGGTCGCCGGTCGGGCCGGGTTGGAGTAGGACGGGGCGGTGGGGCGCCCGTCGGGCTGGGGTCCCTGCCGCTGGCCCCCTCTTACCTGCGGCCTCGGGGCTGGAGGTGTCGGAGATGGTGTGCACCTCCAGCCGGTGCTTGGCAGACTCCAGGGAGGAGCGCCCCTGCCCCGGCGCCAGCGCCGTCGCCATGGCCAGCGCGGGCTGGTGGTGGTGGCAAGATGATGAAGAGGAGGAGGAGGAGGAGGAGGAAGGTGAAGAGGAGCACAGCTTATTCCCGGCTCCCAGGCGCTCCAGGTTTAACGAGTCCTTCATACAGTTCATCGGCAAAAGGACGCCAAAGTCTACGTGCGCGCCTGGGGGGTCGGTAGGAGAAGGTATGCGTGTGTCTGTAGGTGTCGGTACGTGTAGAAGCGCCCACGCGGCGCCCCCTCCGCGGGCGCGGAGCAGCCCCGCGGCTGCGGGGAATCAGGGTTGCCAGACGGGGAGCCGCGGCGGGGCGGGCGACGTTCGACTAGCGCCCGGGCGGCACGGTGAGCCTCGGAGCCCCCGCCGCCCGGGGGGGCGCGGCGGCGGCGACAGGCGAGTGGGTGAGTCCGGTCCTGTAAGAGCCGTCACGGCGACACGGCTGCTCCTCGGCCGGCGGCCCCCGGCCCGCCGCGGGTCTCCGCGGGGCGGGGGCGGCGAGGCGCGGCGGCGCTCCGCGGGGCGCTCCTCTCCGCTGCCCGCGCATGGACCCGCGCCGCGGCCGGCCCCGCACCGCATCAGCTCAGCCGCTTCCCTCTTGGCCTGACATCTTAAACCGGCGGCGGCCTTCCCCGCGCCGCACGTCACCCACTCCCGCCCCGCACCGCCCCCGCACCGCCCTCCACCGCCCGCCCTGCCCCGCCCGCGCCCAGCCCCGCCCGCGCGGCCCTCCGCGCCCCGAGCCGCCCCCCGCGCTCTCCCGCTGATGGGCACACCCACACCCTATCTCAAAACCCCCGCCCGGTTTGCCGCGCGGGTGGTACCCGCACCCGGAGAGCACGGCCTCCGGCCGCCCCTCACGGCGTCCCCCGTCGGGGCGGTCCGGGCACGTCCGCTCCGCGCCTCGCCGCACTCGCAGACCCGCGGGGGTAAGGAGTGGAGAGCTCGGCACTGGCAGAGGCGCTGAAGCAAGAAGGAAGAGAGCAGGGAAGCCTCGAACCCGATTCCCTTCTTATGAAGAGGGTGGAAAATAAACAGGACACGGACGCGGCCGGTTAGACGGCGAATCTTAGGCTAGTAACAGCGACAACTAAACACAAGTGACAACAACTTCCCCTCTGCCCGCATCGAAGGCGGAGAACATGGGGGGAAAATCCCCTCCTTGGCTTTGCCATTCCCGCCCCTTCCCTGCAACCGGCTTCCAAAAGCGAGCCTCCAAGGAGGCTTTTCCACCCTGGTTTTACAACTTTTCCCCGTAGTTATTCGCGGGATCATTCCTCCCTCTCGGCGTGGATCCGCAGGGACCGTCCCGCGCCCCCGCAGTAGTCCCCGAACCCGTGCCCACGCAAGCTGTTCACAGAGTTTGGCCAAGTCCCACACCGGGCCGTGCGCCGGCACACAAACTTCTCATACCCCTCTCTGAGGCTTGGGGGCAGGATTTGACCCCTCGCCCGGGCAGCGGCAATAGAGGACGGGCTGCACCGTCCCGCGGTCCCCGCTTACGGGACCGCTGATAGCGCAGGGGCGAGGCTGCTGTGGACCCGCGTCTCGCAGGAGGAAGGAGAAGCGGGGCTATTTCAAGCGCGTCTAAGGCGGTGGCAGGTTGCCCTCCCGTGCTGATCAGTTCCTCCTGGGGCAGAAGGAGTCTGTCCCCGAACCCTAGCCCGCAAAGCCGACACTGCCCCAGGGGAGTCGTGGCTGTGGCAGGGATGGGAGCCCGAAGGAGCCCAGGCGCTGGAAATGCAGGTTTGAGTCTCTATCTTCAATTTATCTGGCCCATCACTGGTATCGAAAAGTTACAGAAAGCTTCCCCTTGATGTAGTTCTTTACACCCCCAACCCAACGCCCAAACTTTTCTGTGTCCCGTTCACGTCCCGCCCGCCATACCTCACCCCCACCTCCCCGCAAGGGTCTTCCTTAGTCGCTGATTCTTGTTCAAGGTATGTATCATCCACTGCAATCTTAGTTATCGCCAAATTATACATATTACTTTCGCAGCCTGTTAGTAAAGAAGGTTAAATTAATTTACATTCTGCTCATTATCTGGTGTTTAAATGACGTGTTTTTATCCCTGAGATTTGGCAAAGAATCTCTTTCCTCAGACCCCACAGCGTTTCGATGGAGACAATGCTCTTACATTTGTAGTGGATTTTAATCTGATAAGACTCTAATTTGCTTAAGTCTTTTAAATAGGGGGTTTAAAATGATTCTAGCCGTTTTCTTATTGAATTTCCGCTAATTCCCCAAAGATCATAAAGTATATGTGTAAAGTAAATATTTCCTCCCTTTGCACCGGCAGCAGATGACCTATAACTAAGTCAATATGAATCCAGCTCCATTCTGCACATTTTGTTTACCAATCATATCCCAGATTCTTCTTAACCTCTCGCTGCCTCCGTGGTCCCGCACCCAGAATCTCCCCCTCCAGCATTTGCCCACGGCGGGGCTGTACCAAGACCGCTGGCAGGGGGCTGCCACGGCCTCGGCCTGGCTGCGAGGGGCACTTGAGAGGGGGCGCTGCCCTTCTCCAGCCCCCAAATCAGGGTTACAACAAGGCTGCAAAGCCCTGGGGAGGGGGAGCCAGAGGGAGAAGGGATACAGTGGTATCTCCTCCCATCTTTTTTTTTTTTTTTTTTTTTTCCAAACGGGGAAATGCAACCCTGAAGCAGATAACACCCATCACCACTTTTTTTTTTTTTTTTCATTGATTAATTTTTAGTCATTTTGGGGCAATGCTAACTTCTTCCGTAGCGGCTCGAAACGAAAAGTCCCTCCCGACTGCGCGGTCTAGAGTGCTTGTTACACGCTTTATGTCCTCGCATAGCTAAGTGCCTGTGCCCACCCGCCGCAGCCCTCTCTGTCCCGGGACATTTGGCGTGAGCAGGCGGTTCCTGGCGCGCTCCCCCAGGGAACGGGGAGAGGAGGAGCAGGGCCCGGCCACTGCGCCACCCTCCCACATCCTCCCTAGCACCAGCCCCGCGTCTCCTAAACCCGGGCGGGACAGACCCTCCCGCCGTTCCTGCTCCCCTAAAAGGGGGACACAGCACTGGCCCGGGCTCTGGCAGCCCAAAGGGAGAGCCTGTCGGCATTTCCTAACGTGCCTTTGATTAAAACTCCCCCACCCCAGGCAGGAGGGGAGCTACCACACAGCATTAGTTGTCATGGTGACCATAAATCACGTAAATCCAAAAATACCCACCTATAATCTGAGATGAAGCTTTTATTTCCCAAGTGAAATAATATTTTAAAAGCTGTCAGCCAACCGAAAAACAACCTAATTGTAGTCACCCAGGTAATATATTAACGGTAAAGATTTCAATTAAAATGTCAAGTGTTTTTAATTTTTTTTTTTTTCCTGCTGGAAGCTCCCATCACCTCTCCCGTTCGGGTCCTGCCCGCAAAGCAGTCTCACCCGCCTACCGACTGTCCGCGCCTGCTGCATATAGCTACCACTACCGAAAAAACCCAAACATTTGGGGGAATTCTTCTCTTTCATGCGGCACTGCGGGGCCCGTCGGGGACGCACCACGGTGGGCTGGAGGGCATCCGCCCGCTGCCAAAAATGGGGAATCGGGGCTGCTCCCCACTCCCCTCCACCTTTTTAATTTTGTGGGGTTTTGACGGTGAGGGGGACTGTGGTTTTTTTATTTGTTTGGGTGATGGGGTTTTTTTGGTTGGTTGTTTTTTTGTGGGTTTGTTGGGGTTTTTTTTTTGTTGGGTTTTTTTTGTGGTTTCCCCCCCCTCCCCGCCCCCCCGAGGTGTTTTTTGACCTTAAACTGCCATCGGCAGAGCTAGCGACCCAGGATACCCGGTGCCGGCCCCGGTGCGGGAGGTTCGGGAGCGGGGCCGGGAGCTGAGAGGCTCGGCTGGGGGTGCCGAAGGGTGGCCAGACCTACTGCGGTAATTTATTTTCCCACTTTTCCTTTATCTCCTCACGAGAACTTTGTTTCTAGGCGTAATACTCCCCTAAATGGATAAATTGGTTCTTATGTAGTCTCCAGCTAGTCCTGTTGTCTTTTACCTTTGGCTTGTTGTCTTTCGCCTATCTTGGATTACCGGGTATTCTCCTCGATGAAGAGCCATTAATTACCCATTCAGTCAATATTAGGAAGACTACAGAGCTTTTTACATAGGATTAAGAAGACATCAGATTGTTCCGTTAGTATATTCCTACTCACGAATAAGCTTTCGTTATACATTTAGTTTTCCCTGGAGTGAGGCTAACAACTGCTGCATATATTATTCCCAGACGACAAACAGGGAGAGGAAAAATTCTATAACCGAAACGCAATAAATAACTTCTAATTTGCGCTTGGCGGGGGGTTCGGGACGGGGAGCTCACCTTCCGCGGCGCCGCACAGGGGCAGCGCACCGGCGGAGTCCCTGTGCCCTGGCCGGGGCACATTCCCGCTCCACGGCGCGGGTCACAATTCCGGGGACAAATTTGGCCACGCTATGTGAAGAGGAGGGTGCCGGTCGGCTGTGCCTGGCGGCCCAGAGGCGGCAGCGACGCCTCCGCTCCGGCTCCGCCTCGGCCCCCCCGCGCTGGCTCCCTCCCGGGGAGGCAGAGCCTGCGTGCCCACCTCGTCCCGAGGCTCAAAAAAGGCACCGGCGACCTTTGCTTTGCACGCTGCCGTGTCTTTAGCCGGCCTGGACGGAAAGCTGAATCAGCATTAGGATTTAAGTTTTCGTTTTTGAAAAAGAAATGTTCTGTTACGAAATATTCAGACCAATTTTTTTTTTTTAAGCGATAGAGTTGAAACAATCGATTTGTGATGCTGAGTGATGATAAGGTGGAATGTAATTTCAACGTTTTATGCTGGATGCTGCTGTTTCAGCAATAACTAGATTATCGATTAGAGGGAAGGATTCTTAAGTAGAATTCACTGAGCTAACAAATCTTATAGATTATATATATATATACACACATACATATATATATATACACACACACACACAAATATCTTAAGCATCCTTTTGCCCTTCATAAAACTTATTCGAACAAACCCATCAACAACCATTTACGTGTGCTGTGGGGCTGCCGAAGCATGTGCTGAAGTTTTCCTAATTTTGTGGGACTGGTCACGCAGCAGCAATTTTCCCGTCTCTCTGGAGAAACCTGACACCCGTCGGACTGCGTTTGACACTCAAGGCTGCAATAATATTTTCATACTTTCCCATTTTCCTTTCCCCGGCGTGGCCACGGACTCGTTTCTTCTGGAATAACCCTCCCTCCCCGCGCCCCATTCCCCACGGGAACCCGGCATGCCAGTGTCGTTTTGGAAGGTCTCCTACTGAATTTCGTTTCCTCCTTTCGCAAAAACATCGCTTTGACCGAACAGTCCTATGTTTTGCTATTACTGCCAGTGGTTCTAGTTAGCGATTATTCTCCTCGTGGCCACCGACGGTGCCTACCTAAGTCGCGAAATTACCTGACTGCCCTCGTAATTTCGAGAGCTGAACTGTGACGGGGATGGGGGGGGGGGGCGGAGGGGTGTCCCCAATCGCCCCTGCTCCTTTCCCCGCCTCCCACCCAGCCAGCCCCAAAGATTAGACCTTTTGCGAAGTCAATCCCATAAAGCATGGCGTACTGGCGGCCAGGTAAGATAAAAATCAACGAGCACCGCGCCGTTTTAAGCAAATCAAAGCCAAGACTCAACAAAACCCTCCAGTATCACGAGAAAACGCCCGTGATTTTTACTCTTTACAGCAAGCCTCCCGAGCAGCTCTGGGCGTCTCGGGACTTGTCATTTTCCGTTGCACAGAGGCAGGGGCTGGGGCTGCACACAAGGATTGTCCACACGTCTGCAGGGATATATTCCCATATGTGCAAGGATATATCCGTATCCGCGGTCGTCGCGTTTCCCTTCCCCGTAAAAGGGAATGGTTTAATGGTCAGGCAACTCCGTGTTGCTTCTTGGACTCGGAGGTATATTTTAATTAACGGCATTAAAGGTGTTTAGATAGCAATTTCCCCTGCAGCCCGGAGAGTCAAAAACAGATCGGCTGGTACGGTAACGAGGCAGGAAATTTTGCGTGTACTACAATAATCCAGGTTCATAATTGATGTTTAAGAAAATAACCATTTGTTTCTCGGCAGAGGAAGTAAAAGTTACCGTGTCAGGCAACATATGTGGATATTACTTTTATAAATACTTAGTCGAATAAAGCTGACTTGGAAGGGCTCATAAATTTATTATATCAGAAAGGTCCCCACTTTCCCATTAGATCGTGCTAAGGGCTTTGATTAAGACCACCTGTTCGTCGGGAAGAAAAGGCAGGGGAGGGTAAAAAGGCCTTTCTTATTTGCAAACCATATATAAAGCAATGTCACCCTTCCTTTCCACATTATTTAACACTTATTACTGGCCGAGGGGAAAAGTGCCAGACCCTGGTAAAGCATATTTGTGCACAATTTAATATCGTGTATGTTTCCGGGATTAAAAATTATCGGCTCATAATACCTTCTCGTTTGGAATTACCCCGGATTTTGCTCGCTAACCTTCCTTTAGCCTAAGCATTTCTTCTTCTAGGGGTTTTGATGTCCAGCTAGCAAATCCTATTTAAAGACTCCAGGGGAGAGTGGACTCGGGAAGGCGACATGGCCCCTCCTGAAATCACTGGATGTTATTTGAGAAATAGCGAGCTGTTTGGCCAAACAGGGTTAATACAGTATTCTTATAAGGAAGTGTTTAACCACGGGACCAGGAATACGTGCATTATTAATTCACTCTAGTTTCCTGTATTATTAATTCAGGTTAATGTATTTTATTTAAACAAAATTACGTTTATCTTGGATTAAACAGTCTCTCGAAATACAGAGCGCTTGTTTTCTTCTTTGTAATATGTTTGCATTGCTGTTTTTCTTTACCACCCCTCGGGCTCGCCTATCAGACCCCCTGAAGTGGGCAGAGGAAGAGTAGGCAGGAACTCTCTCTACCTGTAGACGGGGCGCTGCGGGGGTGCCTACCTCTGGGGGCAGGAAAGGGTTGACAGCTTGTTTACGGGCGAGGGGGTGGGTAGTGTCAAAAAATAGAAAATAAATATAAATACAAGAGCGACGCTGCGGGTGTCTGAACGGCGAGCAGACAGCGATACTTTTTTGGGGGGAGGGGGAGGCGCTGGCGGCGGGGGGATGGTGCGCGGCTGCGGCCGTCGGGGTGCGCGCACCCCCTTTCCCTTTCCCCTTCCCGTTCTTCCCCGTCCCGCGGGCGCGCAGCTCCCGGCGCAAGCGGCGCCCGGCGGGCAGCAGAGGGCGCACTGGCGCCGCGCAGGCTGTCCCGACGCGGGGCTGTCCCCGCAGCGCACCCTGCGGAGCGGCGCGGAGGGGCCGGCGTGCACCGCCGGTGCCGGGGGCGGCCGCCCGGAGACCGCGCTGCCGGCGGGCTCCTTGCGGCCCTCCGGCGCCTCCGGCCCTCTTACTGATGTCCACCTCCTTGGGAAAAAGGCACTCCACGACGGCGGGCTACACCCCTGGGCACGGGGAGGAGGGGACAGGGGAGAGGTGTGTGGGTGGTCAGCGCCCGACGCTTCCCCGGGGGCGGCTCCGCCTGGCTCCAAACCCGCGCATCGCTCCGCACGGCAGCGGGGCCGCTGTGCCTCCGGCCCGGCGGGCGATGGTGTCTCTTACCTAGCTGAACACAGGCGGAGACAAGTTTGCGGCAGTTGGACTCCATTACCCGTTATCTGCAAAAGATGAAGGCACCGGAGTTTTAAAACGATTATTTTGGGATTGAAAAGTACATGCAAAAAAACCCCGAAACGCCGCCGCCCCAGAAGCTGCGGTGCAATGATGCGGGCTGGAACCCTCGCTTTTCTCCAGCGCTACGCTCGGTGTCCCCTCTCCCTGCCTCAGCCTCGGATCGCACCCGAGTTACACTGCGGGACAGGCGCAAACACTCGTGGCGGCTTCCCAGCCCGTCGGACCGCTCGGCCTCCCTCTATCCCTCGTTATTTGGGGTCGAGGAGGAGAGTCCCCTGACCTCGTGGTCGTGTGCGGGACACCCCGGCCCTGGTCGCAGGGGAGCTGTAGGGCAGCGGGCAGCAGCAGCCGCTAACCCCACCATGGCGGAAGTTGCGCGGCAGCGCCTCCGCGCTCCCCGGCCGCCACCGCCGCCGCCTCCCCCTGTCTGAGAGGTCGGGCAGTAAAATCACAGGATTAGTGCCTGATTGAGATGTCTGTTCGTGAGATATTACAAAATTCATTATCACAGCTCTCTACTAACTCGATATGAAGTAACACAGATGGGATTTTATTAGTCCAGGCTTCAAATGTTTACTTATGATAATTTCGGGGGAAATTTGCATGTCACCATCATTTCGGTAATCTTTCTTCTTCTTCATCGCTTCTTTTTTAATGTCTGGACCGGGCGCATTATTAGCTGGTGCTTAGAAATGCGGCAGGCTGGGGCCGAGGCACGTTTGGGATGAGCAGCGCCAGCCGCAGCACTCGCCGTGCAGGGCCCCGAGGCCCCGACCCTTCCACCCTCTGCCGGGCTGGCAGGATAAGGCCGTGGAAAAAGGGAAGGAAAAGCTGGGCGGGGGGAGGCGGGCGGGGGAGAAAGGAAAAAAAAAAAAAAAGGAAAAAAGAAAAAAATAGGAAGGTGCCGTTATCGGGACTCCTTGGGGTCATGTCGTGACATGGAGGTTTATATTCCAAGCTGAAGGACGCCAGGGAGGAACTCCCTCCAGAAGCCGGGCCTAGCACATGAGCAGCGCCTAAATTAATCAAGAAGGTGATTGAGAGAACCTGAAGTCTTTGCCGATGGTCCTTATTTCGGCATAGGTCTCCGTCAATATCAGTCCTGCGTGACAAATTCGGCTGCCCTCCCCCGCGGCCTGCCTCTATGACTGATTTATCTCACGAGGGGAGACACACGGCTCCCCCCACACACATGCAATGCCACCGAGGGGAAGTTTTTCCTCTCTACTCAAATGCTGATCTCCTCCAAGAAAAGTACCTTTCCCGGACAAATTATTATTCCTTCCTTGCTCTCAGTTGCCCGTATTGCTCCTTCCCTTTCTCCTCTCCATATCCTCTTTTAATTTTTGTTGCAAGGCACATCACAGCACGGGGCCAAGGGGAGCGAGAAGCCTTTCCCTCTATTGTCTCCATCCCGGCGACTCAAACGAAAGCAACTCCACTCGCTTTTCCATTTCTCCGAGCACTTAGAATTAAATACCTCCGCACCTCCGCGCACCCACAGCCCCAGCAAACGCACCAGCTGTGCGACCTTCCCTTTCTCCGCGGCCGGGCCCGCTCAGCAGCAACCTGCTCGAGCAACTGCAGGGTACGGACAGGAAAGCTGTGTCAAACGGTATTTTTATTTTTTTCTCTTATTGGTATCTATTGCTATTCTTTCAGGAGAAAAAAAAAATCCACAACACCCCAGAAAAAAACAAGAGTCGCTTGGCAAGGATCTCAGCACAGCCCGAAATACTGTGGTCCGTGATTTTGGCGGGAGGCTTTTCGCCAGAGGCCCGCGGCCGCTGGCTCTCAGACGAAAGGGGGTTCCGTGCGGGGCCTACCCTTTCCCAGTGCCCGCAGGGCAACTATACCCCGTCGTCCTCCCGCGGGGGGTGCTGTGGGGTCCCAGCCGCAGACCTCGCAAGCCGGCGCGGCAGACCCGCCCGCATCGCTTTTGGGAGGCCCGAGCGCGGGCCGGCGCCGCTGCCGCCCCCTGCCCGGGTGCGCGGCTCCGCGGCGGGAAGGCGCTGCCTGCGCGCCCGCTTCCCGGCGCCCGCCCCGCCGGGGAAGGCGGAGAACGGCACTGCGGACAAGCGACGCGGGGGCAGCGCTTGTTTTCCCCCTCGCTGACAGCCCCGTGGGACGGGCCGCAGCCGCTCAGGAGGACATCAGAGACTCAGGTCCGCGGGACCCCGTTCAGCCGCCCCGCGGCCCCGCCGCCCGTCCCGGGGTGCGCAGAGCCGCGACCGGCCGGGTCGGCAGCCCCGCTCCCGTCCCGCCGACACCCCCCGCGCCTCCCGCACTCACCGGGGCCGGTCGCGCTGTCCGCCCCGCTGCTCTCGCTGCTGGTGCCTGTGCTGGAGGGGGCGGCGGGGCCGCGCCGGGCTCCTGCGCTGGCTGCGGGGCCGCGGAGCCGCCGCTGCCTCCCTCCTTCCCCGGCCCTCCGCGCCCTCGCCCCGCCCCGCCCGCCTCCCCGGGCCCTGACGTCACGCAGGCTCCTCCGAGCGCTCCCCGCCGTAGGGCCGGGCCGGGCAGCTCCGCGGCTCTCCGCGGGCACAGGCGCAGCGGCGGCGGTGGTGGCAGCCCTCGGCCGCCAAGGGGGCAGGGGGCAGGACGGAGGACAAAAGTCGGCGGCGGCGCGGCGCCGGGATAGGTAGCCAGAGGAAAACCGAGGTGAGCGAGGACGGCCGTGGCCTCTCCGCGCCCGCGTAAGGCACGCCCCGCTCCGCCAGGCTGGGGAGGGGGGCACAAGTAACTGTGGCCGAAGTTTCCCGGTCCGGGCCGGCGGCTGTCCTTGCACCAGGTGTGAAGAGGGATCGCCAACCCATTGGGAGAGGTCTCGGTTTTCTTTTTTAACCCACTAATATTTTTTCCCAATTTTTCTTCTTACTCTTTTTTTCTTTTTCTTTTTTTTTTTTTTCCCTTTTTTTTTTAATTCGGAGTGCTCTTGTTCGTGCCCGTATCCGGTGTCGATATTTCGGCTACCAGTGCCAGGCTAGCCGAAATGCTGCCGCGTCTCTCTGTTACTCGTCCTGCATCATCTATTCACGATAGCGAGAAAACGCTACCTTCTCTCCCCGTTCCCCAAACGACACCGAGTTGGCTCGAGGGGGATATTTATTTTCGATTTTGCCGTGTTTTCCGTGTTAAGAAAATATTGAAGTCGGATTTCTTTATTAATATCAAACTAAAGCGACTAAATCTCGCAGCATTTCCGCGGCTTTGTTTATAGGGGAACCACGCGAAAATAAAATAGGCACTTTCCTAACTCAGAGGCTATACCTGATCTCTTTGTGGCTATTTTTAAATTATTTCAGCCTGGAGTGAATTTTAGTTATTTATAGTTGTGGGCAGGGGGATAGGCAATTATTGCTGGAGGGAAAAGCGAACTCTTGGAAGAGGCCAAGTTTTCCGCGTGTCGTTAAGTCAGTGACTCCTGTGGAAAGTCCAGATACACCCGGCAGCACCGCTGTTCCCCGGCGTGCTCAGAAAAGCCCTTTGAATGCTACGCCGCAGAGGCTGCCGAGCCAAGCGGAGGGGGTGGCTTCCTCTCGCAAGAAATTAAATCATGTGGGAAAATCTAGGGAGAAATAAATAAATTAATTCATTGAGTCCTTGGCTACCTGCGTTTCTATCCCTGGGAGTTCTCTGCCAGGTGAAATCCAGTTTTTTCGCGCATCTGAAGAAAGAGCGGGAGTGAGAGGGACTCCCAGCTCCCACCTCCCAGTTGTGTTTACCCGGGAAAAGCAAACTGTTTGCGCCGGTGAGCATCTTCCCCACACGCCCAGCCCCGCTGTGCTTTGGGCAGGGAAGGCATGGCAGGCTGGGGCGCCCGCCTCGGCAGCGCGGCCGCGGAGCGGGACCGCCCGCGGCTCATAGCCCGCCTCCGCGCCGGGCGGCAGCGGGCTCCGTCCGCGCCGGAGCGGCTAAAGTGAGCAGCTGGTGGGAAATGCAAATGGCTCCTGGAGAAACATAAGATACTGGATGATTTTCATTCCCTCCTCGAGTGTGTGGAAGGAGCTGGACATACGTTTCACGCTCCTAATCCTTCTTTTACATTTTTAGTCATACTCCTATTAAACAACTAATTAATGCCTAGAATCACCAGGGAATACATTAGACATGCTGCCGTGGAAGAGGGGTTCCAGGGTGTCTGGAAACTATGGAGCCGACTTAATACGCGGATTTCATTTTTTTTTCCCCTTCTGTCAAAGCAATAAATGTAATAATAGATTTCAAGGCGAGCAAAGGCCGCGGCGGCTGCATTAATAGTCTATCTTCCCCCTTCCACCAGCGCAGTGACAACAGCTTTAAACCCCCCCGAGAAGGCTCGGGAGCCCTTCCTCGGCTGGCTGAGGCGGGGGACTCACAGCCGACCCTCGGCCCGGCGGGGAAGCTAAGAGCTGTGCGAAGAGCCCTCCGTCCCGGCCCCCGCCAGCTACGCCGGCTTTCCAAACCACTTGGAAAGAGGGTCGGGGTTATTCATCGCCCTGACGGACGGAAAAGCTGTTTATTAAAAGCTTATCGCGACTATCCGTTTGCAGGCACTTGGCGCAGCCAGCGGTGCTCCCGACGGCGGCGGGAGCCGCGGGGCTTCTCACCAGGTGATCCTGGGTCACAGTGTGGGTGAGGCGAAGGAGAGCCTGGGCTGCTTCCCCGCTGCCGGCCGGGAAGGGTTTTGCTCAGGGAAGGGGGAAGGTAAAAAAAAAAAAAAAAAACACACGACAAAAAAACCCCAAAGCGTATGTAGCCGTGACTGAACGCAGAGTCCAGCCGTGTTCCGAGCAGCCCTCAGCGTCTGGCACAGGCCGCCAGCGTTGGGGAACAGGCGGAAAAGGGAGTTATCCTGCAAAGTGCGCGGTGGGGCAATTCACGACCATTTACTTTCTTCATTCCCGGATTATGATCTCAGCCCTCGCAAGCAAACCCTCTCGTCTCCCCCCAGCTTCTCCTCCCACCTCTCTGAGCTCCTTATCTGTCAGCAAGCGA